CTCCGAGCCACCCCGGGAGCTGAGCCACGTGTCCCGGCAGGTGACGAGCCCCACTGCTTCGTGCATGGGACCCGCAGTCACCATTCCCGCATGTTTCCGTGTGCACGAGGCTCTCGGGTGCGTCCCCAGCTTTGCATTTCTCCTTCCCCAGGAGAACAGCGATGGCATGACCTTCTGCACCAGCGGCTTCCAGGGGTTGGACATCGCCCCTCCCGCTGGACCCCTCTGGATTTTGGGCGACGTTTTCATCCGTCAGTTTTACTCCGTCTTTGACCGTGGCAATAACAGGGTGGGGTTGGCGCCCGCCGTCCCTTAGGGCTGCGGCATGGCGTGGGGCAGGAGGGGAACGGAGCCACTGGGCTGCTGCCCTCGGGTAGGGCAGGGGATTTCACCGCTGCATCAGCACCCTCGGAGGTGATGAAGACACCCGGGGACTGCGGCTGACGAGCCCAGCAAAAGTTTGGTCCGTGCCAGGAAGCCATTTCATAATGAAGATAAAAATGTCTTGAGCAGCTCTGTGGTCTGCTTCGCAGATTCTCTTTTTTCTAAAACGGGTCAATAAAAGCTTTAATAAAATAAAAACCTGCCGTGTTCGTGTTGTGATTAGCAGAGCAGCAACCCCGCAGATCTCAGCTAGGATGCACTGGGATGTTAAATCCTCCTTCCATGGCCCCTGCCCTCCTCCCCGGCGAGCTGAAAGCCTCGGTGCACCCCGGCACTGCCAGGGCTGCATGCTCCGTTTTACCGGAGTCTCCCTGCTCTGGAGGGGGCCTTGGCGGTGCCGGAGATGCTGCTGCCCCTGGGCAGCATTGGATCTGAAGGGTTGGCCCCTGTGGTCCTTAGCCGGGACTTCCACTCTGGCAGAAGAGGACACTTTGCAGAAAGCCCCGGGAGGCGGCTCCGGGCATCCCTGAGCTCCCCACCGAGCCCGAGGCGACGGCTGCGGGCAGGGGCTGGGCAGTTCACTGGAAAAGGTGTGGCTCCAGCAGCCTGAGCTGGTGCTGATGAACAAGAAGGTGCGATGAAACTGGAGAGACCCTGGGGCTCTTTCTGTGCCACAAAACTCCCAGAACAAACGGTGATTTCCAGTGAATTTTGCTTTGATTCCCGGGGCACTTGCAAAGACAACGTGGTTGGTGGGGGCACGA